AAGCAACAGTGTTTTCTAAAAATAAATGTTATTGGGACGCCTGGGTGGCTCAGTCGGTTAAGCGCCTGACTTCGGCTCAGGTCATGATCTCACGGTTCATGAGTTCAAGCCCCACGTCGGGCTCTGTGCTGACAGCTCAGAGCCTGGAGCCTGCTTCCGATTCTGTGTCTCCCTCTCTCTCTGCCCCATCCCCAGCTTGCGCTCTCTGTCTCTCTCTTTCTCAGAAATAAAACACTAAAAAAAATTTTTTTTAATAAAAATAAATGTTATTGAAGACTGTGGCTGAGACTAAAACTGTAATTAATTAATTATTTAATGCTGCTGTGGTTAGAGAACTTGTTCTGTGTGATTTTAATTCTTTGAACTTTATTCAGGATTGCTTGTTCACCCAGCATATTCCATAAGTATTTGAAAAGAAAGTGAATTCTGTACACATTGGGTGTAGTGTTCTATATATGTCAATTAAGTTGGTTGGTTAATTGATTATTTTATGTTGTTAGTTAATTGAGTTATTCACATCTTCCCTACCCTTACCGTTTTGTTTTGTTTTGTTTTTTTCAGCTTCTTAACCTATCAGTTACTGAGAGAGATATGTTGAAATCTCCAATTCATAATTTGTATTTGTCTATTTGTTCTTTTCGTTTTCTAAACTTTCGCTTTATACATTTTGTATTATTAGGTATATATAAATTTAAGGTTATTATAGTTTCCTTTTGAATTGACTATTTTATCTTGATGAAATGTTCCTTTTTAGTCTAATCATACGTCTTGCCTTAGAGACTGACTTGTCTGACATTAATATAGCCACAAGAGCTTTCTTTTGTTTAATGTTTACAGGGTATATGTTTTTACATCTGTTTGTATCTTTTTATCTATGTTATATTTCACGTGTCCTTGTATTTCAAGGCCCTCATGTAAACAGATCTAATTGGGGTACTGGGACGGGGGAAGTTTGGTGCAGTATGTTAATTTTTTCCTATTAATTGTTTTACTTAATCCACTTGTATTTAATATAATCATTCATTTGGATTTAAGTCACTATTTTGCATTTCGCTTTCTGTTTTCTCTTTGAGTTCTTCCACATTTCTTTATTCTTCCTTTCTTGACTTCTTTTGGATTAATCAGATATATTTTATTCTTCAATTTCTCTCTCCATAGCTTTTAGTATACATTCTTGTATAATTATTTAACCACAACAGAATTTATTTATTTTAGTTAGCTATACTATGCAAATATGTATCATGGACTTTGATCAAAGTCTTCCTTAAATAAGTGTTTTGTAACCAGTCCCCAAATAATGCAAAATTCTTAACAAAGTTTAACTCCTTTTGTCCCCTACTTCCATCCTGTGTGCTATTGGTTTCATATAATTTACTAATACATATATTGTAAACTCTACAAACCATTTTATTTTATTTTTTTTTTAATTTTTTTTTTCAACGTTTATTTATTTTTGGGACAGAGAGAGACAGAGCATGAACGGGGGAGGGGCAGAGAGAGAGGGAGACACAGAATCGGAAACAGGCTCCAGGCTCTGAGCCATCAGCCCAGAGCCTGACGCGGGGCTCGAACTCACGGACCGCGAGATCGTGACCTGGCTGAAGTCGGCCGCTTAACCGACTGCGCCACCCAGGCGCTCCATCTACAAACCATTTTATAACTTCTTGTTCTACATAGTCAGTTCTTGTTCTAAATTCTTTTATATCTAGCCACATAGTTACCCTTTCTTAGGCTCTTCATTTCTTTCTGCAGTTTCATCATTCTATCTGGGATTACTTTTCTGCAGCCTGAAGAACTTCCGTTTTATTTCCCGTAGTTTAGATCTGCTAGTAACAAGTTCTCTCAGCTTTGATTTATCTGAAAATAATTATTTCACCTTCACTTTTGAAGGAAATTTTCACTGGGTATAGAACTGTAGGTTGGCGGTTTGTATATCTTAGCCCCTTAATATATCATTCTGTTGCTTCTGGCTTCTATAGTTTCTGTTAAAAAGTCAGCCATCAATCTTACTGATGCTCCGATAAGATGCCTCTTTTCTCTCTGACTGCTTTAAAAAATTTATCTCTGTCTTTCATTTTATTTGTATTTTATATTTTATTTTCAGCAGTTTAACAGTTATGTGTCTTGGTATAGTTTGAGGTATTTTTTTAGATTTTTGCTGCTTGTCAATTGCTGAGCTCTTTCTTCTTTCATTGGTTTCTAAATATTACTTTTGCCTCATTCTCTCTGTCTTCTTGCTCTGGGATTATAGTAACTCATATTTTGGATCCATTGACTATACCCACATGTCTCTAATGCTCTAATCTGTTTTTTCCATACTTTTGCTTCATTTTTGGATGTTTTCTATTGATTTTTCTTCAAGTTCATTCATCCTTTTTTCTGCTGGATCTTGTCTTCCCTTAAATCCATCCAACGAGTTCTTAATATCTCATGTTTTTAATTCCAATATGTTCATTTAATTTTTCATATAGATTCCAGTTTTCTGTGGGTGTTACCTTTTCTTACATTTTGTTCATCTTTTCCTCTACTTTCTTTACATATTAATTATGATTACTTTAAAGTCTCTGTTCCTCTATCTGGATCATATATAAATCTCCTATTGTCTGTATTTTCTCTTGATTACCACTTTTTTCTGCCTCTTATTATATCTAATATTTTTTGTGTGATATACTGGATATTTTATATAAAAGAACCGTTAAGGCTCCCACTAGTATCTTCCATCAGATATAATTCTTCCTTACTTCTGTTAATCTAATTAGGATAAGGACCTGATTCTCTGAATCTAATCATGGATTGAGCTACTCCAGGTCTGGATTGTACCTGTAGCTTATCCCTGTTTCTTGGACATGGGCCCTCCTGGGCTCTTGATTGAGAACCTAATAGGTCTCTATCTCCTTAGCCCTGAAAAATTGCAAGAGATTGTCCTACCTTTGAGAGGTTAGGGGTTTGGCTCTTTAACCTCTTACTCCTTACAATTTCAAAATATGGCATTTATCTTGAGGAGGTATGTTTGAGGTACACCTCCTCCTTCTAGTGGGACCTCATTTATCCCCTAAAACCACAAAATTATGAGAGATTTCTTCTGCCTTGTTATAAGCTCTCGGCCTAGCTTCACATCTCCATTGTGCAGACTCAGAACTCAGCAAATGCCCCATGGGGAAAATTGGACACATGAATGGAGCTCAAATACCAATCAGTCATAGCAGCCTATTGGATTTCTCTTTCCTCCGGTAGAGGTCCTCTGCATAGGCCAAGCCTGAGCCTCAGTTCATGCCCCAAACTGACAAATGCCCTCAGGAAACAAAACAGCATCAGCTACCTCGGAAGCCCTTCCCCCACTCAGGTCTGGAGTTCCAGTTCATCTAGTCCCTGTGATTTCTACAACACTGCAGTGTCTCTTCAAGGATGTATCTGACTTTTCATCATAATTTATTATATCCTACCTAGAAGCATAAACAGCATTATCCTCTACCTGCCCACTGGAATTAGCTTATGAACTAGCCTGCCTAGTTCTACTCCTGCTCCCTCCCGCCAGAAGGTTCCTTTCAAGTACATCCTGCCACTCCCCTGCTCATAATCCTCCAGCAGCTTCCCTTCATACTTAGAAAGTTCAAATTCATTTTCATCCTCTGCAAAGGCCTGCACGATCTTATTGCTACTCCCTTTCTAACCTGAACCTCCAACACTCTTCACTCACTCAATTCTAGCTATACTGACCTCCTTACTGTTTCTCAGACACACTAACATGTCCCCATCTCTGGATCTTTGCACTTGTTATGTGCCCCCTACCTGGAAGGCCCTTTCCTCACATGTTCATAATGCTTTGCCTTTATTTCATTGGGGAGCTCTCAGTGTAAATATCACCTCCTCAGAGTGGGCTTTCCTCACCCGCCTTTAGTTTTAATCACAGCACTTACCTGCCCTTATGTTATGTATTTATTTGTCTGTTTTCTGTCTCCCCAACGAGGAGGTAAGCTCCATGAGAGTGAAAACTGTGTTTTGCTAACCTATAGTAAGTGCTTAGTAACTATTTGTGGAGTGAATTAGATGTCCCTTAAGGAGAAGGTGGATAGTTAGATATAAAATGGAAAGTGTACTGACATAGATATGTATAGAATGCTTGGGGTGTGGGGGGAAGTGGCACTGACTTAACTTGGGGAATAGTCACACAAGGCCTCAATGAGGAGGTGGCCCTGGAGCAGAGTGTTGAAAACTGAGTATTGATGTTTGCTTGAATGAAATGGTGTGCAGAAAACAATTGGGCTACGGGGGCAGAACATTTGACTGTGGGAAACAATTGGGCTAGAGCATGGGGGTGGGGGTGGGGAATGTGTGTCAGAGAATGACATCGGACATAACTGGAGAGCAAGTCATGGGTAAGGTCGCAAAAGTGCTTGGATATCAGAGTAAAGAATTTGGACTTCACCTTGAAGGTAATATGGAGAAACAATTTTTAAAGTAAGGGTGTAAGGAGAGGTGCTGTCAGATGTGTGTATGTATGTCCATGTGTTTCAATACTCCTCATTGCAATGATCACACTAAAACTTTAAGTGAATTGATGTAGAAAATTCCTAACTTGGTTGTCCGGGCCCAGTTTAAAACATAAGTCTTTATCCCCTGTTCACTGTGTAACCTGAAGGTATCATTTCCTCTTTTGAGCCTTGGATCTTCATTCTTAGCAGGAAGAGATTGTAGGCTTCTAAAAGTCATTCCATCTCTGAGCCTATGGGTTCTGTTTATATGCTTTAACTAGATGCCTTGGGGAGAAAAATTTAATATTTTCTCTGCATCTGCCAGAAATAATTAAAACTTCCAATTCTAACCAATCTAAATTCAGTTCTCCTGTGAGATTTTCTAACATTTAGGTCAGATGCCAGGAAACTAGCTTCTTGGGATAAAACTACCCAAGCAGAAGTAGCAAGTCTTTTTTTTTCCCCCTCTGTTTGGGATGGGAATGCAGGTGGGTGGAGGGGGTGATAGAATGAGTCTTTTTCTTGCAGTTGTGATTCCAAAGAATCCCTATCCTGCATCTGATGTGAACACTGAGAAGCCCAGCATCCACAGCAGCACCAAAACTATCTTGGACCATCAACCAGGGCAGAGGGGGCGTAAACCAGGAAAGAAGCGGGGCCGGACACCCAAGCCCCTAATTCCCCACCCCATCTCTACCCCATCCAAGTCAGCTGAACCTTTGAAATTCCCAAAGAAGAGGGGTCCCAAACCTGGCAGTAAGGTAGGTAAAAATGTGGGTTTCCCAGAAAGGGATAAAGGGTTATAAAGGGGTAACTCACCCATATCCATCCATCTTGGAAAGGGGCATGTCTGGCCCTATTTTCCACCTTGTGTATACTTTTAAACAGGAATCTCCTACATTGTCATCCCTGCTTAGCTAACTTACCTGGGAATTGGTAATGTAGAGTAGGATGGTGTGGATAAGAAACACATTTTGACTGTGAGAGTTACATTTGAGGAAATTCTGGTCTAATGTCTTCCCTCAATGAAAGGCCCTGCTCCTAATTGTTAACCTACCCAGAATGAATGCCCAAGCACATGAACAGAAACAGAAAATTGACTCTGTACATGTATTTCTTTTTCTAATCCTGCCCCTTCTTTTAAGAAGAAGGAAAGAACATTACTGAATACCTAGCAAGTATAAGGTTCTGTTATCAGACACCATAACATACATATCACGTGATGATCACAAGAACCTAGGAGATGAATGATGTTAATGTCATTTCATAGTGAAGTAAATTGAGACTTAAGAGATGTGAAAGGACTTCCCTAAGGTCACATAGCTAATAAATGGCAAAGGTTCCAGAGATGGGGCCCCACATGTTCTAGTTCCAGGGTCACTGCTGCCTTACCATGGGCACCATGGGTACTCTCCCACATCTCCTGAAGGAGCTAACGCTTACATCTAGTACAGGACAAGACCGCTGAGTCAAGCGTCACTGAGCACCATTACTGCAAGAACCACCTTTTTTTAGTCATGACCAATTCTTCATGCGTGTCTTCCTTAGGGAAACCATTGATAAGAAAGTTCCTCAGCTGCTTCTATAGGGCTTCCTTTGGCATCATCTTCTCCACTCACTTTTTGTCAGGGGATTTTCTGCATCTCCCTCCTGAACTAGACCACCTGAGTTTCAATGTAGAAATGATACCTAGTTCTCCCTGGGCACTCCATTCTAATCTCATGAGTTCTTCCCTAAGTTTGGTTGGTTGACTGATTGTTTTGGCTTTGTGTATTAGCTCCAGTTGACTTCAGTTCTTCTAGAATACAAGCTCCTTAAGGTCAGGAACCTCGTCTTGTTCTTTTCTCTTTTTTCCTGTAGTGCCTTATATCTTAGTCTCTTGGGAAATGTTCAATATATGCAGGATGGATGATTTTACTTATGATGTTCTAATTGAGATGATCTTATTTATTGGCTTTGAATTCTTGATATCACATCCTCATCTTCTATGTAATATATGTGCTCTTGATCTATCTATCACTAACCCCTAGCCCAAGTCCTCGTTCATTTTTGTCTCCACTACTCTCTTCTTATTCTCCTGCCATGGAGAGACACTGAAGGCTCTAAAGATTCCAAGGCCAAGAAGCCATGCTTTTGATGATGTGAAGACATTTTAAGGGCATCAGATTAACCTTGAAAGTTTGCAAAGACAAAATTAAAAAGTAGAAACTCAAGCAGATAGACTTTGTCTCAACATAAAAGGAACGGTTAAATCTATCCCAAAACAGAAGTAGTGATCTGCCAAGAAGAAGAAGAAGAAGAAGAAGAAGAAGAAGAAGAAGAAGAAGAAGAAGAAGAAGAAGAAGAAGAAGAAGAAGAAGAAGAAAAAGAACGAGGAAGTAGTGATCTTCCATCACTAGAGGCATTTTGTCAGGGACTAGATGACTATATGGGAGGGATATTTTCAGGAGAGGGAAGTAGGAGAGAGATGGTTGGATTAAGTGGCCTTTGAGATCCTTCAAAACCTAAACACTGCGATTCTATGATCGCTGCTGCTCTGCTTCCTTGGGAAGTCCTAAACATAGTAATAACCAAAGTCCCCATTCTTTCCAACCCTCTTGAAAACAATAATTCTCATCTTATCCTGTATTTTATGGGCTGGCATTTGACTCGCTAATTCCCCCTCCTGTCCTTATGCCTACTTCTGTAAATGTATATGCCTTCCACTTAACCCATGACCCTTCTGTTCCCTTCTAAAGTGAAGTGGTCTCATGACTAGAGCAGAGGCTTTGAAGCCAGACAAACAGGTTTATACCTCATTTCCATTTCTTACCACTTGTGTGACTGTGAGAAACATCTTTGAGTAAGGCTCTGAGCTCCAGTTTTCTCACCAATAAAATGGAGATGAGGTAATATATGAATAGATATGATACATGTATCTCAACTAATAATGATGTCTTCCATCTCTCTGCTTTCTGCTACAATATTTGGGGTCCTAACCTACCAGGCTTGTTACTCCAGAGACCCCGTGAAATCCCACCACTAACTCAGTGAAGTTGAACTGATGTTTCCTTTCTTTCCTGGCTCCTTGTTTATTTAAACTTTTGTTTTAAGCAGTGTCCAAAAAAAAAAAGAAAGAAAAAAGAAATGTCCATGTCCCATGTATGCTTTGAATGTTTCATGTTTGTATGATAACTTCCACAGACAAGGCCATCTTATATATGCCTGCTGTCACTGGTGCTGTCACTTTAGATAATATACTCCTAGAAGGCAGACAGGTTTATATAGCTCCCAGCAGTGGAAACATGGGACATTTAGTAAAAAGGGATTTCTGAACCTCAGTGATGATTATAATTTCCTTGCATTTAGAAAGGCTTTTAGAAAACTATTTCTTGGAAAGAACCTTCTGAGATCTTTCTCTCCTACAGACTGCCCTGAACAGCATAGAGGAGATATTCGATTTTTCTTAAATCATTTGTAATCCTTCCCCCCATTATTGGTATTCCGTACTGCGTGCTTCATTCAAAATATTTATTGAGACTTATTATATGGCAATTGCCATACTAGGAACAGTACTCAGAATCAGACCCTCAAGGAGCTCCAGGCTAATAGGGGACCCCAGTATGTAAATACATATGACAATACATTGTGACAGATGCAATACAAAGTACAGAGATAGCACAAAAGAGACAGTATCTAGAGGAAATCTAGAAAAAAATTCCTGGATAAACATATCTATAAGGTAAAAAAAAAAAAAAAAAAGAAAGGCCATTCCAGGCATAAGGGACAGATATTACTGTAAAAGCAGAGCCCAGGTAAAATTGCAGAGCTTTTAGAGAAGTAATTTAGTTAGAGATTCAAATCTTAGGGTAGAAAGTTTAAGATAAGAAATGGCAGATGATAAGCTGAAGAGGTAGATAGAGGAACGAATTGGTAGTTAGGGGAAGGAACGTTTCCATTTTTAAAGAGAGAAGCAAAGTACAAAATAATGTCAAAGTAGACTTAAGCCTTTTGTACTTTTGTGTGCCCAGCTGATGAAGAACCTGGAATTTCAAATGATAACATTGAATCTAGTATAAATTACAGTGAATTAAGCGCTGGCTCTGTAGAAGCCCAGAGTCTTGTACATAGATTCAGAAAACATTTACTAAGCATCTACTGTATGTAAAGTTTGGGGCAAGATTCTGTGTGGAAAACAAAGTGAAAACACAGCCCTATCCACAAATACATATTTCGTTTCATGGGTGAATTGAGTACTAGGAATAGAGGAATCAGAAGACAAGTTACCTGTCATGGGTAGCAAACTTTTCCCCATCCGTTTTGACAGAGGAAACCTCGGACTTTGCTGAACCCACCACCCACCTCACCAACAACCAGCACCCCTGAACCGGACACCAGCACTGTACCCCAAGATGCTGCCACCATCCCCAGCTCAGCCATGCAGGCCCCCACAGGTAAGAGCAGATCATGGTATTAGCTACAACAAGGCCCAGGCCCCAGTATCTGTACTTTCTCTTGTCTTGCACCAGCAATTAGACCCCTGTCCATTTGTAAACCTAAATCAGATCTTTAAAAAAAAATTTTTTTTATCTTTGGCACTTGAAATAGTTTCAGAGAAACCTTCATCCTTTCCAAGCAATTGAAGAAACTTGGATAGATATTCTGTGAACTCAGGGCTGGGGAGCTGGGGCATGGGGTGGGGTGGAGGCAGGGCCAGCACCAGGAGCCCCCGGCCCACTTTGTGTTAATACTCATCCTTTCCATTTGGGGGTGCTCCCTGTTTACTGATCCCTTGCAGAATCCTTCCAGCATTACAGTAATCCTGCCACCACTCAAATACGTGTGCAACTGCTCTGATTTTTTTTTTTTTTCTAGTGAAAATAGTCTTTCTTGGATATTTAGAAAACAGGATTGTGGGAGATATTTCTCATTAAGAACTTTGGTACACTATAACACATGAGGAAGAGTCAGTAACTGCCCCGGGTCCCACAGGGCTATTCGCTCAGCACGACTGTAACCCGATAAGCTGCCTAAGAAAACCTTAGCAATTTAAAATCGTTTATATACCTTATAGCTAAATTTTTTTTCCATAAGTTATATTTTATAGTAGAACTTAATTACTCTTTTCTGACTGTTCAAGAAATGGCACAAAATTAAGCTAATCAACTTGGGTATTTGTATTTATTTTCTTCTCTCCTGGGGAGTAAATTCAGCCTTTCCACAGCCACTTGGTTGCACAGAGCTCTTAGTCAAACGCACACGGCTCTTCCTCGGAGAAACCAGAGCTGTGAGCCTCTTCACTGCCTGGGACTCTCAGCCGCCACTCAAGGAAGGGCTCACACTTGAGTTAGCACAGGCTGGAAAAAGAGCTCCTAGAAGGGCAAAAACAGGGTGCTCCGGTGGTTTTTATCTGTGGAGCCTGCTGTTGAGGTATTAGTTTGATTTTTTTTTTTCCTTAAAGGAATCCTTTTTCCTACAGTGTAACCGCCACACATTGTCACCAGTACCGTCTTCCTAGTTCGACTTCCCTTCCCCTCCCCAGCCTTCAGACTCTCCCGCAGTAATTTCTGCTGCAGCAAAGTTTGAGGAAAGCTGCATCATTGGTGGGACATCATCTTATTGGGAACCATCATCTCTGTCCTCAGTTCAGGTAAAATAAGAATAGTGGCTGCAGGCTTCATTTCCAGGATCATATCAACAAACCCATCCAACTCAAGATCTTGTAGTGGCTTCTTTTTTACTTGAATTGGCAAGCTCTCCTCAACCCAGTTCTGATGGAACCTTAAACCTCCTTCCTTGTGACACTTCTGGCAGCTTGGTTTGGTCTGGATCATCCCCACTCTGTGCAAGACTGGTCTTTTGGGGTGGGCTTGATTTCAAAGGCTTGGACTCTTCGGTGAGTGGAAGCAGAATAGGAATGGCCTTTTGCTCCCCTGAGGTGACAGGTCTCTTGCAGAGTGAGCAGTGGTTCCACTCCAGGGTTTCTCTTAGGATCTTAGCTGCTCGGTGCTAAGTCATCCCACAGTTCCCCCTCTGCACTAGTGAGTGAGTGGGGCCTTGGCAGCATCCAAGGGTTCTGTAGGACAGATCTGTGCTTTGACAGTTTGGTTTGCAGACTCCTTGGCTTGCTCCACTGAGGCAACTTTTTACAACTGGATGGGAAGTTTTCACTGTCTTCTGAGGTATTTTTTACATCTGAGGTTCTGTTTGTGGGAAATTCAATAGGCTGAGAAAATCACTCACTTTCTGAAGAAAGGTCAATACTTGTAGTCGAACTTGAGGCAGTGCGTTTGAAGACGTTGGTTCTTTCCTCCTCCCACAATCACCTCTGGTCCAAGTAAAGAGACCACCATTGTCAGGCTGTGACGAGTAACTGCCACAGTGAATCACGGGTAGCATGCCGGCCTGGTAATACCTGTGACGAGGTGACTTTCTTCAGCTGCTCCTGAGTGAAGTGCTCCACATAAGCCTCCAGGTGAGACAGCAGCACTTTCCACGTGTGCTCATCGTGACCCTCAAACAGCTGGAGCGGCACGGGGATCACCTGTGACTGGAACGGGGCCAGCAAGAGCCAGCAAGGGAGTTCTGGGGTTTCTCCCTGTGCACTGTCTTTTACGGAGCCAAGCAGATGAGGAAGAAAACTTTTAAAGGCTGCTGGCTCTGCACACACCAACTGGTTAAGCAGAAGAGGCACCAACCATGATGCTATTAATTCCTCTCACGAGCAGCTGAAACTCGAAGAATTCTGATTTTTTTTCCTCTTTACTCTTCAACATTAAACTTTTCAAGAAATTCACAACTTCTAGACCATCGTTCCTGAGGAGGTCATGGGCAAGGTGCAGAGTGCTGGCTGACATCTTGGAATGGGATAAAGCAAGATCTGTTGAAAGCTGAGGAGAACATCCACCAAAACGGAGACCCAGAGCGACAGTTATTTTCCAGAGAGTGCCTTCTCCCTCTTCTCAGGACCCCTGTAGCTGCAGACTGACCAAAGCAAACACCAGCCCATACAAACCCAAACAAAGCCCAGGCTGATTTTTTAGCGTCATTGGTGGTGGCAAACTTGGTGCTGTGAGAGTGAACATGATTTTTGGAGACCAACCAATGAACATTTGATTCAGAACAAAGTGTGGTGACTATTTTTTTATCTGTCTCCATTTCATAAACCAGCCATCTATGAAGGTAACTGAAAGAGCTACACCAGTAGAATAGATTAACAGTCTCCCAGTGGGGTAACTATAAAGAATAATTCTCATTTCTTTTTTTTTTTTTTTTTTTTTTTTTTTTTTTTTTTTTTAATTTATTTCGAGAGAGAGAGCCTGAGCAGGGGAGAGGCAGAGAGAGAGAATCCCAAGCGGGCTTTGCATATCAGTGCGGAGCCTGAGGCCTGGCTCGATCCCACAAACCACGAGATCATGACCTGAGCCGAAACCAAAAGTCGGACACTTAACTGACTGAGCCACCCAGGTGCTCCTCTTTTTTTTTTTTTTTTTAAGTTTATTTATTTTGAGAGAGAGAGGGAGGGAGGGGCAGGAGAAAGGCAGAGAGAGAATCCTAAGCAGGCTCCACACTGAGACCACAGACCGATGTAGGGCTCGATCCCACAAACCATGAGATCATGACCTGAGCCAAAACCAAGAGTTGGATGCTTAACTGACTGAGCATGTACCCATGTACCCCATGAATAACACTCATTTCTTAGGTGTAAAGTAAAGATACGTGTGTGAAACCTTACTCTGCTTACTCTGCAGATTCTCTACCTTCTTTAGAGATATTTAAGCAATTGGAATAGTCCCCAGGGAAGTTAGCATAGTCTTTTTCTTAGAGTTAACTATGTCTCCACCCAAATCCTGGAATGTTAGAGCTTGAAGGGAAGGCCAGCTATAGTTTCTTCTCCAGCTAACCATTGGAAGACAACATAGCCTACCTGTGGTATTTATGTCCAGTTCTAGTCAGGGTCTTATCACATATTTCTCCAAATACATCATCTGCATCTAGCCCCAGCCAATGACTGGGTTTGCTTAGTCTAAAAGAGTGTCATTAGATTAATGAAACAGTGGCCTTTGCCCCTAAGCTCCATGGATGAGGAAGAAAAACACAGATGAACACTTTTCTATGAATCCATAGAAATATTGATTATGTTTTCCAACCCCTAGATGCCTGTATATTTGCTTGGTTTGCCCCATATCATTCTGGATACCTCTAAGGTGCCTAGTTGTCTTTTCAACATTACCTGGAAGACCCACATTAGTGGATCGCTTTGGCAATATTAAGAGTCTTTTCTGGTTCCATACAAATTTGAGGATTGTTTGTTTTAGCTCTGTAAAGAATGCTGGTGTTATTTTGATAGGGACTGCATTGAATATTTAGATTGCTTTGGGTAGTATTGACATTTTAATGATATTTGTTTGTCCAATCCATGAGTATGGAATGTTTTTCCAGTTTTTTGTGTCTTCTTCAATTTCTTTCATAAACTTTCTATAGTTTTCATTGTATAGATTTTTCACTTCTTTGGTTAGGTTTATTCCTAGGTATCTCATGGTTTTTGGTGCAATTGTAAATGGGATCGATTCCTTGATTTCTCTTTCTGCTGCTTTGTTATTGGTGTATAGAAATGCAACTGATTTCTGTACATTGATTTTATGTCCTGCGACTTTGCTGAATTCATGGATCAGTTCTAGCAGTTTTTTTGGTGGAGTCTTTTGGGTTTTGCACATAGTGTCATGTTGTCTGCAAAGAGTGAAAGTTTGGCTTCCTCCTTGCCAATTTGGATACGTTTTATTTCTTTGTGTGACAACCCACTTTAGAAGCTGAAGATTTAACTCTTCTTAATCTCCTTGTCACTTACCCAACCACACACACTTCCCTATCTTAATACCATGATATTATAATTTTGATTAGATTGAAAGTCAGTATTTTGTCATTGTAATTTGTGGAATGCTATTCTCAATTGAACCAAGTAGTGTACTATGATTATTCTTCCTTTGTTGCACATTTTGTTTTCAGAGTAAATCTTGTTGATTTCTTTATGTGTTTATTTTGCTAGATAGTTATTAATTCAACCTTAAGCTCTCTTACTACTATGTATATCTCTCTTTATGTTCAAGCACATTATATATTCTATCCATTTCAAACCCTTAAAAAGAAGTCTCTTCTGGAGCCTTCTGAGTTTCTCAACATCCTCTTCTCCCACCATTTGTGTTATTCCCGGTTTGCTCCTTCCCATGCCTTTATTTTCCCATGTAAGTCTTTCATAGATATGCATGTTTAATTTTGCATGAAACCTATTTGTTCTCTTTGAAGCTTCTCTTCATCAGTAGTATTCTGCAATCTCACCTGAGATGTGAGTATTTTTACTTGCCATGCTGGACACTTCATGTGCCCATCCATTCTTTAGTTACTTGAAATTTTCTTAAATTCTTTTTTTCAGTGACTTTGTCCCACTTCTTTGTCT